CTCCATTTCCTGTCTCCATGAAAGACTGGATCAATATGGAAGGCAAATGGGGTCCTCGTTGTCTTCACCCTTTTCTCAATAATTGGAATCCGACCACTCTGTTGTGCACCAGATCCAACAATGACGTCAAACTCATCACTAACAGAGGGGAGACCAAGGAGTATGGCTGGTATATCACATCGTATACGGCTAAGAAACAACACAACACCTCAAACGCATCTGCACTACTTGCCAAAGCAGTTGCATTCCATCAGAAGAAGGAACAGTACAACACTGACATCGATCTCCTTAACAAACACCTCACCCAGTGTTGTGCGAGCACACTGAGCCGAGAACAAGAGTTTAGTGCACCTGAGGTGATCAGCTACTTCATGGGATGGGGCAATTGATATGTCTCGCATTAAACAGAAATGATTTACTTTTCATCCGTGATCTCATTGTTGAAGCGGCAGTTTCCTGCTTTGAAGAACCAAAAGTCTGTATCTATAAGTATTTTGATGCACACAATATGACTCAATGTCATCCACAGTTATCATGGAATGACTTCTGAAAACACGTTCGAAGGAGACGTGCTCAATAGTGAGGCAGAGGAGGTGAGTGAAACTATCCAACATTGCCGATGTCTATTCACCATCAGGAATAGTTTGTGACCTTGGAAGTCCTGGAGAATTCACTCTACATTCATGACCAGATCGGAGAATATCAAGATCGAGGTGAAATGCTTGAACAGTTCAGTTATCTTGATTTCTTCTTGCAAACTTACAATAAGGCCATGCCTACACATGAAGAAGGCTGTAGAGGCCGTCCCCAATCTGTTAAGATTCCATATCGTCAGCATTCTATTCACCAAAACCAATGCCGAATTCTTCATGGAGAACAAGCCGAAGTTATTCCCAATTTTCCTGGCAAATGGTTTGCAAACCGGGAAAATCTTCCAGATCACCCATTATATTGCGCATCATTGTTAGCTTTATTGAAACCATGGAGGTCTCTTGCCGACCTCAAATCTGTGTCCGAAACTTTTGTTGATGCATTTGAACGCTTTCTCGTTGACTCATCCCTGCATGTACATGATATTGTGGAGAACATTCAATACTTCCATGATTGTTCAGAAAGTGCTTGAAGAAGACGCGAAGCTGCTGAAGACTTGTACATGGAGGGTGATTTTCAGCATTTTGAAAGTCATTTGGAGGATGACGTTGATGAAGAAAATCTGGTGCCACAAAGTTCAGTTGAAGCAGTAGTTGATGAAACACAAGTTCAATATGTGTTACAACACCCTTTCTCGACACGAGAAGCATTGTATGCTCAAACAGCGATGAACATGGCATTCGATAAGGGTATGTTCACTGAGGAGATTCCGCCCTCTACATTTCACAAGCCACTCGCTCAAACTACCACTGAAGAAATTGCACAATGTGCCCATCTGCGACGCACTATGTCTTTAATGGACACCGAAGATAGTGTGATCTTCCCAGAAGCTCATACCTCAGATATGAGCGGAGGTTCAGTAATCGCCTTCGATGACACTCAGCATGAGCCACCCACAGTTCTTTCGATCGATGCACAAGTTAGCAATGATGGGTGGGAGGCAGAACCTGATGACGGACTGAGGATGAATGGGGAACAGAAACTCGCCCTTGACATTATTCAAGTTCAACTCCATAGATGTCTCCATCATGAACCTGTCTCACCACTTCTTATGGTCATATGTGGAGAAGGTGGCACAGGCAAATCCAATGCTTTCAGAGGTATGTGAAACTGTCCTTTCTTATGTCACCTCACGAGCTTATGTTACATTGAGATAATGAGTATCACCCGAGCAGGAGAAGGTGGACCAGACTCCACAGTTCCTTTCGGTGGCTCAGACATGTTAATAACAGGCGACTTTCATTAATTCCCACCTGTTGGGCAATATAAGAAGGCATTGCACATCTCTCATCCTTTCAATCATCGTTGTGAGATAGGACACAACTTGTACCTGCAGTTTAACACCATCGTTCTTCTTACTGAACAGATGTGGATAGTCGACCACTCTTGGACCAATATCTTACGCAGAGCACATTCAGGGGACTGTTCTGCAGAAGACATTTTAGCAGTTCAACATTTGGTACTCACAGATCCCACCTGTGACATCCCTCATTTTACAAGCACTCCTTGGGACGACGCTATTTTAATCACGCCACGGAACAGTGTTCGAACATATTGGAACCAAGCTGCATCCGCCAAACATAGTTGTTCCTCTGGCAATGTTGAATATTCATTCGCTGCAGAAGACTCTGTGCACAACAGATGATTGACTACAATGGAACGATTCGTGGTTGCATCATTATCATTCGATGACACAGACAGACTTCCTGCCCAATTGACAGTGTTTGTTCAAATGAAAGTCATGGTGACGAAGAACATATGCACACGCGCAGGTATAGCCAATGGATCGAGAGGAACAATCGCCAAGATTGTGTTAGATGAAAGGGAGCCCTGGAGTGAAGAATCTGGACACCAAGGTTGCATCAGTCTCATGTTTCCTCCAGCGATGTTGTTATTCAAGCCTGCCGTGTCCGTCATTCCTGAAGTAGAAGGTTTGTCTGGAGGGTTGATTCCCATATTTCCAGAGCAAGGATCTTTCAACATTAACATGACAAGTCATGTCAAGGTCCACCGGCGTCAATTTGCAATAACTCCAGCATATGCATTCACTGATTTCAAATCCCAAGGCCAAACAATAGAGCAGGTAATTGTTGACCTTGGAAAAACATCTTCATTCGCATTGGATCCATTCCATGCTTATGTGGTGCTGTCACAGAGTCGAGGCAGAGAGACTATCAGACTTCTCAGAGAGTTTGATGACAAGTTGTTGACCCATCATCCGTCAGAAGATCTTTGTCAAGAGGATGAAAGACTGTATTGTTTGGCGAAAGCGACCAAAGATTGTAATTAAGACCCATCCATAGCATTGGTAGACATCTCTCAAGCCATTTACAAGTACAACTCGTCACTCTCAGAGATTGCCATAGTGTAACGCGCTAGTTTGTGGTTGAACTTGGTAAAACGAAAATGCTTGGGGTCCACTCACCAGCCAAGCATCATATTTGTGAGTAACATGTCGTCTTTATCCATGTTGACGACAGGTGAGTCTGTTGATAACATCTGTTTGACCACCAGGACAGTGCCTTTGATGGATGTAGACATTCCTGACATGCACGCCATGTGCTCTAACAAATGGTTTGTGGTAGAGTGGTTTTCTGGCTTTTCAAAATAGATGGTGTACAGATTGTCAAGCTTGTATTCGAAATGTGGCAAGCTCGTGAAAGTGTGGTGTAGGTGTTGTCGGGGCGAGGTGAGCGCATTGAATTCTCGTTGTTTTACCCAATAGTGAACATATAAGTTGTTGAGAGTCGTCTTCTTCACCCCGTCAATCACTGGGATTGGGACGAGGAAAGGTCTGTAACATACTGCACCTTAGAAAACACCCTGGAAGACCTGCGAGAACCTCTGCAGCATGATTAAATGTACAAAAAGAGGATAAACACTGGTTAACCCACTGGTCTCCGACACTTGATTTCTTGAGGAATATACTTGACGTCAGCACCTAACAGGGAAGTCGGTGCATTATTTAGGACAAGGAAAGACAGAATATAAACCCCACTCACGATTGGCAGCCCCAGCATTTTCTAGATTTGACCCCATTATGGATCTGCAAAAGCGACATGCCGTGTTCAAGCAATAAGTGTTCAATCGCCATTCAACGTTGATGTCATAAAAGGTGTGAGTGACACTGTCTGTCATGTCCCAGTCAACTGATTGACGGAGATATTTGTCGCTGATGTGATGCCACAGTGTAGGACAACGGTTGCCGCAAGGGCCTTGGAGAAAATCCATGTTGCTCTCGACCCTTAGACTAGAATGGATTTCTCCTGCGCAACCCAGCTTATTGTCCCATGGCACAAGGTCACCAGTATGGCTGTGAATTGAGATTTGCTGCCGCATCCACTGCGGATAAAAGCATGTGACACCTCCTGTCGTCAAATATACCATGTCCGCGGTGGTTGGTGCATGAAGGATGAGGTGTAATACATGCATGTGAGTCTTTGGACATGCCAGCGTGACCCAGCGAGATTGGAATGCATATTTACCAAAGTGTTCGACAACACTAACCATAGCAGGATGGCAGGCTTCCGTGATTTTCTTATAGCCCATTGTCTCCATCAGAAAGTTCTCTAGAATGTAAAATGTTTCGTGCGGAACTACGAGGTTGAGGTCTTGGATGGCTTCATTGATGTCCCCAGTGATCATGGATCGAGCTGCTGATCCAGTTATAAGGCATGCAGAACATCGTAGTGCAGGAACAAAAGAGTCGAACATGTTTTTTGTGAACGGACATATGATGTGTGTGAATCGCCTATGGACCACCTGTTTGCCTATTTGCCAAAACACAGAGCATGTGCGAGTCATTGCGATTAGATCTGTGATCAGCAATGTTTCCAGTATGTTTGTGATGATGTCTCGATTTTGGGTGACTGTCTGGATAGTTAGAGACTTGATTTGAAGTGGTATGGTGGCCTACACGTCATGTTTGACATAGTAGTTCAAATTGTGTTGAGTGACATTGATTATGGTGGTCGGACGTTGTCTTATGCATCATGAAGAAAATCGACAGTATATTAGCTGGTGACATCAGAAAGAATAAGATGATGTTTGCTAGACAGAACGCCCCTAAACACAGCTTTATCTATCAAACCACCATGCAGTCGAGCATATTTGAACTTCTGGTGACTTCTGACAATCAGTGTGCTTTCATTTTCAGTGAGTGTAGACTGACACAGACTTGCTAACAATGGTACTGACAAGTGGGGGTGTAGTAGAACATCAATTCCGCGGAGGTAATCATGTATACATCGAATCTAACGAGAGGATGCATGCTATATTTGACAGGCATCGCTAACCTGATTGTGCACGATCCTGCAACATCTGTTTGTGTATGCAGAGTCTCTTGCATTGGCACAAGACTTAGTAGATTTGGCATTTAATTGGGAAGCCGAAGCGAGCGAGTGCACTTGATATGGTTTTTCAGAGACTGGTAACAATCATTGTAAATGTATAAGTGAAATGAAAGACATTGAGAAAGGAACCTCGAAAACGGACCAAGCAACGCACAAAAAGGTTATTTAGGATGGAAGAATAAATCCCCAGAGGGCAGAAAGTAAGAAAAAAGTAATGAGAGGCTCAATGTCTAAGGAACCACAAGTCACCAAGGCCATCATCTGCAGGCGGGACGTTCAAGTAGCACACAAAGACATCAGGATGAGAAGAGAGAAATGTGAAAAACGTGGATAGAGTCAGAATTTGCATCTGGATTCATGTGAGTACGAGGAGGTGGAACAAAAGTGTCGGGTCATGGGAGGGAAGTCTAGGATGAGCCGAGTTGTGGGTCCATGTAATGAGAGATGTTTTCAAGGTGACCTTCTGAATGATTGATGGCCAAGGTCAGCCTCGCATCACTAGCCAAGAGCTCGGCAAGAGCGAGACCCTCCACACATACAATGTGGACCGCGGGATCATAGGCGATGGAGTGCATGACACCTGTGGACGTCAGATACACAAAGGACAGCTATTTGTTTGACTTACGAGTGAGCAAGGCAGAATGTACAAAGATACCACGAGCAACGACCAGAACGGTCACTGAAGGGTGATGGGTGGATGATCGAGAGGGTGAATCACGAATATCAGCACTCGGAACAACATGAAATTGAGCAGTGCGCTGGCTACCACGATGAACTAGGGGAGGCAGGGATGAGCAGGGGAGCAACTCTGAAGCGACCAGGACACATACTGAATATGAACACAGCCTGGCCTGCAAAGATATTCATCAATGAGTACATGGCATCGCACATACTGGGCGATGGCTGAGGTTTAAGAGTTATGATTGAGTTACAGTGAGGTGTTAAATACAGGAGGTCAAACTTGTGAGACATGCCAAGAATGCTCAGGCCTACAGGGACTGAGGAGAGTACGGTCGATCATGGCACGTGCTGCAGAGCAGGCAATGGCGCCACCATGGCATCCCAAAACATCAAAGATTTGAGAGAAATTCAGAAGGTTCGGGCCACAATTTGGGTGCAAGGAAATTTGAAGGTGATCATGTGGAACCAATGATAAAACATGTTACACCCAAACATTGGCGTCCGCGCCAGCTTCCAAGCCGCGCTATATGTATCGCCTCAAGTCTGGAGCTGAACATGTCATACATTTGGCCTTTCCGCATGTTTGGGAAGTCATGTGTTACATGTGTGATGTGTTACTAGCAATGGGTGCACCGGTGAGAGGGCATGAACCAAATGAGACGTTCACATCACATGACCTGTCTGAGCTGATTGAGTAGAGAGCCAGATAGACGGCTTTTGGAACGGTGTGATAAGCGCGGAGTCGGGGACTGGGTGCACACACACCGCTACAATAAACATAAAGCAGGAAATGTCGTTGTTTGTAATTGTCGACAATGGGCAGAATTTATGCAGTACTTGCCGTTGTTGACGGTTGTGGACGATTCACAGAATTAACGGGTTGGCATATGACCTTGCAAGCAAGGTGATGTTCTGACATATTCACATACATGGGTTTTTCATTTTTACGGTACTGAGAGGAATGTTTGAAAGACTTCAAACTTCATTACATAATCAGTCTCATGTGACTTGGTGGCACATTATGACACCCATGCAAAGCTTCATCATAACGAATATGCAAGACCAATATGGTATTTAACAAGTTAACATCAGACTGTGAAAATCTCAACAAAGTTTGAGCACAGCTTGAGAGTACAGCATTCAGGCAGTGCAGAGGCAGTGTACATAGCTTTATAGCACAGGTTAGCATAGCCACAGAGCACAGCCACTAATGTTGATTTGAAAGATTCTGGAATATTCTATCAGACAACACTGGAGTTTGGTGGAATAGTCTGGAAAATTCTATGACATTCTTTGAAACTTTAATAGTAGAGTAGTATGTAAGGGGCCCATTTTCCCCTCTAATAAAGAGAGCTCCAAGCCAAGTACAGAGAGCCCATTTCCATATTATCTAAGCTTGAGTGTGAATAAGTGAGTGGAGAATAAGAAGAGTGTTCATATAGCTCTTTTTAAATTCTCTCCTCTAAGATACTAAGTGACATACTGAGTGAAATATTAAGTTATTTCATTCCACTTTTTGACACTGTTTCCCATGACATACAGAAGCATATTTGAGGCCACCATTGAGCCATACTTTTTACACTAGCTGGTACACAGTTATCAGTCATCTAGTGCAGTATATTCCAGTTCTCTTTTAGACACAGGAAATTGATTCTGTGGGGAGAATATACATATTTTCATCAGCAAGGGAAGACAAATAAGACTAACAATCAGTTACTAATATTAAGAACTTGGCCCACTTAAGTCTGTCCTGCGTCACACTCATCGCATAGTGCTTGAGCAGCAGAAAGTAGGTTTTGAAGCCACGTATTAGTTCAGGCTGATCCATGTTAGAGGCTTAGTTTGATCTCCAATTGGTTTGTGAAGATAGGGAGTATCGTTATAGCTCTGAGAATCATCACATAGTCATACATCTGTATTCATTGAAGTCATAGCACTGCATCGCGCCAGTTATTGATTCTGTTCCCCCTTTAGTCACTGTGTACTTCCTTTGAGAACTCAACACACTTTTCCCACGAACAACCACGTTATCGACCGTTGGTATTTGTCTGAACCGTTGACCGTGGTAGGATACTGAAAATCAGTGATTTTACTGTTTTCACATCCTAGTAAGACATCGCCATGCTGCATCTACAGAAACACATTCGTGCAATGGCGTTTCACCTACTCCCCCTCAATTTCCCTGACATTGCATACCTAGCTGTCAGAATCGTTGAGGTGAAGCTTCCCGCCAATGTGCACCCATTACCGAAGAAAAGAACGGCCACGATTGACTGCACCCACACACAACTTTGTAGGCACTGTGGAGGATATGGACACACCTTCAGACAATGTCCCGACTATGTCTGCTGCATATGCAGCAAGATAGGACCAGATCACCTATTGATCCATTGCACTGAACTCAAAGGACACATCATGCTCTAAGAGTATAGTGATAAAGAGAAGTTCTTTGAAGCTCTCTTAGATTGGGAGCATAACCATAAGGCACTCGAAGACCTCACACTCAGATTCCCTGTGCTACCTTCCCTGATGCCCGCAACTCCCACAGCATCGCCCACTGGCAAGCTGTCAAGCACCTCCTTCATTATATCAAAGGCTCCATTGACCAAGCACTTGTCTACAAGCTTGACCCCCACTCCACTGAGTTGTTCTCCATATTCTCTGATGCTGACCATGGCGGTTGCAAAGACACTGGGCACTCCACTGGCAGTTATCTTTAAGATGGGAGTAAAGTGGGCCACTTCTAGAGGCTACTGAGAGACCAGAAGAGATCAGACTAGAGTCCAGAGTAAGTTGTCAATCTATTGAATGGTGTAGTGAAGTTGTACAGTACCTAGAGTCCAGGGTAAGTTGCCAAAGAGGCAGTAAGCACTGGACTCTGGGATATGGGCGACGTATGGTAAACAAATGTAAACAGACAAGCCACAATCCAAAGGTAAGTAATAACTCGACCTAGGGACTCCTAGGGAGGTCAGGAGTTATGTAAAGTGGTAGCAAAGTGCAAGGAATGATACCATAAGTGTAATGGCACAGTTAGACACATAAAAGACATAGAAATGTGTACTGTAGAGGTCAATGATCATATAACTAACAGGTAGTTCACCATGTAAGAGTAATGCTCTGAGGTTGCTCCCTCTGCAAAACAGCTTCATAAATGAGAGTTTGACTTGTCCACCTGCATAACATAGTCAGTGGTGCTGATGGGGTGGTGTCGTAACCTACCGAGCTGGTGATTTGTTCTTGTTTTCTGAATCATCCCATTAAACTGTTCAAATGGAAATGCCCACCAAGTGTTTATTAGTCTGAATGAGTGCAGACACTCTGCCAAGTGCTGTGTAGCATGATTGTTGCTTGTCTTCACTGCCCCTGGCCCGAAAAGCTAGATGGTAGTCTTCAGATAGTAAGTATAGTTTTGCTCAACAAGCTCAATGTGGGTTTCTAAAGTTGAGTGAGTAGTTGCCCAATGAACAGTGATAATGAGCACAGCATGATCACAAGATTGACTAAGCAGACTGTTCGCCATTGATCAGCTTTGATCTTACCGTGGGATGCACTATCAAAGTTTAGTGGTGCAGGATTCAACTAGGAAGGGATTCTGGTCTTAGCAATATC